TCACCCACCTCCACGGCTCCTGACCGGGATGGGATGGGGAGGGGCTGTCCCCGAGGGGCAGGTGGGTGATCCTGGGGCTGGTGGCCCATTGCTGGTGCAGAGCTGGACTATCCCCACACCGCCAAGCTGTGGGTTCCTAGGATGGCTCCTGTGTTCCCTGGGACTCCCGTGTCCATCCCCATCCCTCTTTTTACCCTGAGGGGCTGCAGTTCCCCTGGCACCATTGCCTGACGGGTCAGGGCAGGAGCGTGGGGAGAACCTGGGGCAGAGCACGGCGTGGACCTGTCCCCATCACCCCCAGCCTGGCACCCCCTGGTTCACTCCCACCTCTGCCAGTGCTTCCAGATGCCGATTGTGCCGCGATCTGTGTACGGTGGGAGCAGGATATCAAGGCTGTCTGTCACCCCTTCATTGCAATAATGTCACTTAGGCACCCCCAGACACCTCGCAGGGGACGCTGAGGTGTCACAGCCGGGAAGAGCAAAGCATCGTGCTCCAGGGCCAGTGGGGAGCCAAGTGCTGGGACTGGCAACCACAGACCCATCTCAGTGTCCTTGTCCCCTCCCCAGGGAGCTGTAACTGCCGTGCTGCAGCGGGGCCACGTGCCAGGCCCCCGCCGTGCTCACCCTGCCCACGCCACATGGCTCCCACCCGGCACGGCCCTCACGCCCTCTGGCACATCCCTGCCGTGGCCATGTCGGAGCAGGAGGGGCTGGGAGTGAGGTGGGGCTGCCACCAGCGGTGATATTGGAGTGATCTTGAGGCCGGGAGGGAGGTTTGCCATGCGGGAAGCGAGGAAAGGAGCCGGCTGAGTCACCCACTGCCGGCTGCTGACTCAGGCGCTTCCTGCCAGGTAGTCCCGGCTGCTGGCGTGTGGGCTGCTGGGACATGGGATGTGGCACAGGGGACAGCCGGGCACTACCCGGCACTCCAGCCCAGCACCCACCGTGCTGCAGGGTGGGCTGAACTGAGAGCGTGGTGACCTGTTCCTACCTGGGACCACCCGCGTGCCGGAGCAGCGTCGGGACCGCGGCTGCCGGCCCTGGGAACCGTGAGAAACTGGTCACTGGCACCTCCCACCCAGCACCTCTGGGTGCCACACACCCAGGGCGGGTGAGATTTGGCACGGCAGGGCCTGCCGGAGCCAGGGTTCCGACAAGCAGGCGCCCGGCGCCCAGGGCAGGAACCCTGCAGCTTCCTCCCGCCGGGCAGCGGGAGCAGCCCCAGCGCCAGGGCTGGGAACCACGAGCAGCCTCATCCAGCGGCTCCACGAGGAAGCTGATTTCCTCCGGCAGCCCCAGCACCTCTGCCCACTCGGGGTGGCCAGAGCTCAGCACCATCCACTCCAATCCTGCGCTGTCCAGCTCCACAGCAATTAGCTCAGGCCACTGAGATGTTAATTAACGAATTGCTCCCATGTCCGTGGGGCTCACCTCCGACTCACCCTGGCATGAGGCCGCTCTGCCTGGACCTCTGGCTCACCAGGGAGGTGGCCTGGTGGCCCGTGGCACTGCCACCCATCTTCACTATCCCTGTGCCCACGCTGCCAGCACTCTGAGCCCAGACCCAGGATGTCCCACAGGATACCTCCAGGGCTGGGAGTCCCTCCTCTCCCTGGGAAATGGGAGGGCTCAGACACTTACCCAGTGCTCATCAAGGCACTGAGGCAGCGCAACCATCCGTGAGGCTTCATTCAAATTTAACGACCAACACGGGATATAAAAGGGAAGGGGCAACGAGGAGCGGGTCTGGGAGCCAGTGGGCACACGGAGTGAGCTGAGCATTCCCCAGGCATCCCAGCCTGGCAGGACGGCCCCGTGCCCAAACACCAGCGTGGGGTTGTGAGGGGCTGCCCTAAGTGCTGCCAGGAGGAGCTGGCAGGAGCCAGGACAGCTCATCGCCACATGGACGTGCCAGCACTGCCTGCTCCCCAACCCAGGCCATCCGCCCTGCCTACCACTGGCATGTTCTTGCCGTGTCTGGCTGGACACGTGCCGGCACCTGGCTCCCGCGGGCGGGTCGGGAGCCCTGAGCTCAGCGCGTTGGGGCCTGGTAGGTGTGGCTGGTGAATATTTCATGCCCGCGTTCACCGAGCCCTTTCTTGGTTACACTCCTGCCTCCTCCCCGCACTCTCGCCATGTTTATTTATTTAATGAATTATTTATCGGCTCCCCCTCTCGCTCGGCTGGGCGCTGCCCCCCCCGCTCCCCCAGCCCAGCTCCCAGCCCGGCACGATGATTTATTGAATGCCGGCTCTGCTCTGCGGTTGCGACGTGCTGTCACAGGAAGCCGCGGTTAAATATTAACCAAGGCGGGCAAAGCGGGTCCCCTGCCCTGCCGGGCACGCGCAGCAGCAGGACCCCTGTGCCCACCCTGCTCCAGGCACGGCAACCCCCTGATGCCCACGGATGGAGGGTGGGAGGCTTTGTTCCAGTCCTCACCGCTTTGAGGACAAAAAAGCTGCTGGTCCTCAGCGTGATGGGCACAGGGTGGAGCAGACAGAGGGGCATGGGAATGGGGGAGAACCAGGGCTGCTCCTGGAGAGCTTGAGGCCTTTTGTGTCCTCTGGAGAGCGAAGCCACCTGACTGTGTCCCCCAGCCATCCCACCACAAACACCATATCCCGCTGTGGCAAAACCCCCTCCGTGTGCTGGGCTCTGTCCCCACACCCTGACGGTGACGCCTGGTGGGTGCTGGCAAGTGGTCACACACTGTGATGCACCAGGGCTGTGATCTGCCACCCCGAGTCCCTCCATCCCTGCCAGAGCACTCAGTGCATCTGCTGTGGCCCCCCAAATCAGGGTCCGTGTGTGGCGGGGGGACCCCCGTGGTGAGCACGGCGGCGTGCGGGTACTGGCGGCGGTGTGCGCGTTGCCAGGAACGGGGGGTTTCCATGTGGAGGTGGGTGTTGCCATGGGTTTGCCGAGCCGAGGCGTTTCCATGGTGGCAGAGCAGTGCTGCAGGTCCTCCCAGAGGTGCGCGGCACCCCGGGATGCCACCGCTGCTGCTGCTGCCACGGCACCCTCGTACCTGGATGCCCCAGCCCCTGCAACCCCCCCAGTGCCCCCCCTCCGCTTCTCACCCCCGGGCAGGCAGAGCCCTTTTCCACGTGTTGTGTTTTCTTCACTTCACTTCTCCAGATGAATAATTAAAGAGGCTTTTTTGGTCCTCCGGGCCCTTCTGCTGGCCCCCTCCCCCTTCCCGGCAGGGCTCCGGCAGGGCCTTGGGCCGTGGGATGGGGACTGGGGGCTGGGGCATCACAGCACTGGGTCCCCCACAGTGCCAAGTGGGACCGAGAGCCCCAGCCATCATCAACCTCATTTCCCTCCATGGGCTGAGACAGCATCCACATGGCCAAAGGATTTTTGGGGAGCCTGAAAGGAGGGGTGTGGCTCTGCTTCCACACTGAGCTCCCCCCACAGCTGTGGGGAGCCAGGAGATCCCCCAAAACTCGGCACACGGTGTCACCTGCCCAGGCCTGGGAGCTGCCCTGCCTGGTGGGGACACGGCTGTTCGGCACCGCACCGCCCTGGCCACGCTCCCCACGCCAGCGAGGTGGCTCCTGGCAGGAGCAGCCCGGGCAGGCTCAGCAAGCCCAGCCGCGGTTTCGGGAGCCTCCTGGTTTCATTCACAAGCTCCTCAGGCTGCCAAAGCTCCAGGTGATGCGCGGCGCTGGCACCGCTGGGGCAGAGGCTGCCGGGTCGGTGCCGGCGACGTGCGCGCGCCCGGCGCGGCCCCGCGTGGGAGCCGGCGGTGAGCTGCGTGTGCCCGCGCCCGTGTGAGCGCTCCCGTGTGTGCACACGTGTGCCAAGGCGCGGATCACCTGGCACACGGCTCTGCCGGGCGGTGCCGCACGGCAGTTGCTAAGGGATCTCCACGAGGACGGGCAGCGGGAGCTGGTGTTCAGCTCAGTCTCTGCTTTACACATGGTCAGAAGGTGCCCAGGGAGCGCCCGTGACTCCCCCCGGGGATGCCCACCCCATGGACCCTTGGGGTGTGGGGAGAGCGAGGGCCTGGCCCTGTGGGTGGGCACTCGGCCATATGCTGGCTGCTGAGGGAGGACAGGGCAGGAGGCAGAGCCCGGCACTGTGTCTGTGTGTCTCGGCACCCAGGCTGCCCATGGGGACTGGGTGCCCACCCTCCTACCCCCTCTTATGTCCCCAGGGTGGCCAAACCCCTCTGCGAACACGTGTGACCCCCATGGCACTGAGAGCAGCAGCGTGAGGACCTTCTGGGGTCCTGAGCCCCCACCCACAGCTCCCTCAGCCACACAGACTCACAGGGGCCAGTGACCCGAGGCCCAGCGCTGCCACCCAGGAAGACCCCAGTGTGGGACCTGACTCTGGTGCCCCCCCACCTCTGAGTGTCCCAGTCAGACCCCAGTGCCACCCGACCCAGATGGGACAGGCATTGGTGCCCCCACCCACAGGGGTCCTAGCGATACCCCCACATTGGTGGTACCTGACCCCAGTGGGACCTGGCACGGTTGCTCCCCCACATGGGGGTCCTGGTGAGACCCCAATGTCAGCAGGATCTGGCCCTTGTGACACCACCTGTGCGGGTCCTGGTGAGACCCAGACCCAGTCCCCCCATGTAGGGGCATCCCAGTGAGACCCCAACATCAGTGGCATCTGATCCCAGTGGGACCTGGCACAGGTGCCCCCACCCACGGGGCTCCCAGTGAGACCCCCAATATCAGCAGGACCTGGCACGGGCGCCCCCACCCTGGGGGTCCCGGTGAGATTCCGGTAGCACCTGATCCCCGTGGGATCCACCCGGGTGTCTCCACCCGCGGGAACCCGCAGCCCGAGCCCGGTGCTGGTGCCGGTGTCGATGCCGGGGCGGGCGGGCCCGGGGCGGCGGCGGGAGCGCGCGCGGGGGCGCGGCGGCGGCGGGCGCGCGCGGGGCGGAGCTGGGCGCCGGGGCCGCGGGGCGCGGGCGGCTCGGGCTCGGTTCTCCCTCCATTCCCCCGGATCGCGGCGGGCTCGGGCGGCGGCAGGATGGCGGCTGGGCTCCTGCCCCTGCTCCCGCTGCTGCTGCTGCTGCCGGGCCGGGGGCCGCCGGGGGCCCTGGGCAACCGGCACGCCGTGCACTGGAACAGCTCCAACCCGCAGTGAGTGCGGGCGGGGGCGCCGGGACCCGCACCGGGAGGCGAGGGGGGGGGTCCCCGAGGCGGCGCGGGGCGGGGGGCACCACCGGGAAGGACGCGGCGGGGACGCGGCGGGGATCGCGCTGAAGGATGCGCGGGGGGCGGCGGGCGCCACCGGGAATGAGGGACACCCCCCCCCGGTGCCGGTCTCCGCGCGGCGCCCTCGTGCGGGCGGGGCCGCCGGACCCCCGGTGCCGGTGCCCCCGGTGCCCCTCGTCCTGCCCGCGGGGGCGGGGGTCGCTCCGAGGGGAGGGCGGCAGCCGCCCGGCCGGTTCGTGTCCCCGTGGCCGCGCTGCCGGGCGGGGCTCGGCGGCTCCCGGTGCGGGCGCGGGTGGGTCCTGGGCACTGGGGGCAGAGCCCCCCGGCGCCCCCCGACAGCGCTGACCCACGGAGGGCATCGGGAAGCGTCCAGCCGCTCCCATGTATCAATCTCTCGATGCGCCGGGGCGGGCAGGGGTCTCGCTCCCACCTCCAGACGCGCCCCCCGCCTGTCTGGGTGCGGGAGCGGCACCGGCGGCGCGGTGAAGGCGGGGGGGCCCGACAGGTGCCCGCCGACCCCCACCACCTCGGACCGGCTGCATTGGCATCCTCGGGCCAGCGGCAGTGGCTCCCGGGGCTGCGGGGGCGGTGGGGGTGCGAGCGGAGGGTGGGAACGGCTACCGGGAGTGGAGCGACCAGGGCTCGGTGGCGTGGACACGCAGCCCCTCCCTCACACCCTGCACCGGGGCTGCCCCTGCCCTCGCCCGCGCCGGGGGCTGCGTGGCACCCACACCTGAGAGCGGGTGTGCGATGGGGACGATCTGGGCTGGGCCCCCCCGAGGAGGGGGGGCTGCGTGCCCGTGGTGTGTCCGCAAACCCCTCCAGGGGGGTCTGTGCCCGCTGCCATCACCCACCTCCCCATCCCTCACCAGTGCGAGCGCCCAGGGGTGTGGCAGGGACATGCGTCCAGCCAGAGCATCCCCTTGGTGCCCGCTGGTGCGGGGGCTCCCCAGGTCTCCCCCCGCCCTGCACCCCTTTGTGCGGGGCGGGAGCAGCCCCGACAGCCCCCTCCCCTGCCTTTGAGATTGTGTCGCCAGGCGGAAGCTCGGGCCCCATAAATCGTGCGTGTGTGCGACGTGCCGAGGCGCAGCACAATGGCGAGGTGTCGGGCTCGCCCCGTTGCGCTCGGCATCCCCCCAGCCCCTCTGCTCTGGCCAGACCCCCGGCACCCCCAGCGCTGTCCCCACACCGCGACACTGCCGCGACATTGTCGGGTGGGACCCACCCACGCCCCCACCCTTGTCCTGCCACAACCCAGCGTCCCCACCCCGGCACCACCGTGACCCGACGGTGCCCCGGCACCTCTCAAGGGACGGGATGGAGGGGGTGCCGTCGGTGCCCCTGCCGTGCCACGCCGGGGGTGTTGCAGCCAGACACCCGCACCCATCGCGCACGCGTGTCTGGCGCGGCCGCGAGCGTCCAGCTCAGGGCACGGGCGGCGCGGTGGGGGCGGCTGCGGCAGAGCCGTGTCCCAGGGACTCCGGAGCTGATATTTATTGTTAGGCAGTGCGGCAGCTCGGACGCAATTACAGCCGCACGGCAAAGTGTCTGGATTAGATAAATTATGGGGGGAATTAGGCTCCCTGGGCCGCAGCCTGCAAATCCCAGCAACCCCGCTGCAAGCGGAGCCATAAACAAGCCCAGCACGGCCCTGTAGGGCTCTCCAGGGAGAAGGGGGGTGCCGGCTGCAGCCGCTCCTTGGGGGCTGTGCCAGGCACCCCACAAATCTATTACATCTCCCACCATGCCCCCACAGGTGGCCCTGTGGCCGCCCTCGGCGGGAAGACGGGGTGAGGAGCAACCCATGGAGCCCATCGTGGTCCCAACAGTGCCTCAGGTAGTTGGTGGCAGCTCAGCCACGTGAGGGATGGCTGGGGGTGCCAGGGAGGGTCACCGAGCAGGCCAGGGCACCCCTCGTGCTGTGGGTTTGGGGTGTGTCTGCAAAGCCCTGGGGAGGTGTGAAGGTGGAACCAGTTGTTGGTCCAGCTGCACATTCCATCTGTCTGTCCCATCACCTCCTCTGGTGGCAGCCAGTGAGCCCCCGGGCTGTTCACTGCCCTCCAATCCCGAGTCCTGCCAGGAACAGGCCCGATGGCATGAGGCAAAGCTGCAAAGCTGCAGGGCAGTTGTATCCCACTCAGCACTGGCTTTTGGGGGGGCTGTGACCCTGGAGTGCCCCACAGAGCAGGGCCAGGGGCTCCTGGGGTATCCCCAGCCGAACTGGGCCCTGGCATGCTGGTGCTGGTGGATGCCACCTCTCTGCTGGCTGTCCCAGATGCTGAGATGGGGACAGTGATCTGTCCCTCTGTGCACAGGCACAGGCATGACCAGCACCCCCTGCCACTGCTGCAGCCCCCAGGAGTCCCCCAGAGCAGGTTGGCGTGTGCCATGCTCTGCCACTGACTCCGGTGTGGGGGCTGAGGGTGATGGTACTGAGGGCACTGGGTGCTGTGGAGGGAACAGAGTGGGGGGATACTGCGAGACAGGGAGTACACGGGGTGCTGATGCCTGGCTGAGGTGGGGGGGTCAGAGCCCACCTGTGTGCAGGGAGGGCCCAGAACTGTGTGCTACCCCCAGCTCTTGCAGCCCCCCCAGCGCCGTCGCTGCCGCCACGCTCACCTCTTCAAGGTGGCTTTTATCTGGCTGAGGTTGTGTCGCAGGCAGTGAGGGCTGGAGTGGGCTCTGGAGAGGGCTAGAGCGGCATCTGGAGAGGGCTGGAGTGGGTTCTGGAGAGCCCCAGCACAGAGCAGTCTCGCTGGGGAGTATATCATGCAGGAGAGGAACCACATCCCTACAGAAGGGGTCTGGAGGGGGCCCAGGCTCCCCTGCAGCAGCCAGACCCCAACACCGGGGCTGTGCATGGATGGATCCCCCCATCAGATCCGCTGGCACCCACAGGGCTGGGGACGGGGTCACCTGCAGCAGGAGGGACCCCCCTCCCCAGTGGGTCTGGGGGCATCTAGCAGAAGGTGCTGTGGGGCGCGGGGCAGTTGTGCTCGAGCAGGGGCAGTTCCCTGCTTGGCTGCAGGGCCGGAGGAGGGGACTGTGGTGATGACACCGGCTGCCGTGTCCCCAGGTCAGCTGAGGGGTGCTCGGCCACCCCCCACCCCATGGCCGTGCCCTCCAGGCTGGTCCCCGATGCACCCAGAGCCCCCCACCACCCGCCCACGGGTGCCCGGCGTGGTGCTGGCAGGAGTGGGTGCCCGGGGGCAGAGGGTGCCGTGCCCCGTGAGTCACGGCGCTGGGCGGCACCGAGCCCCGGCAGCGCGGCTGGGGTTCCCATGGGAGAAGCGGCCGCGGTGTTGGGGTGCAACAGGGCCGGGGCCACCTGCTCCTGCCCGGGCCGGTAATTGAGTCACCGGTTGCAGATTGATGGTTTAATTAAAACCCAATTAGAAACCTCATTGATCTTGTTAGCAACATGGGAAGGTGCCGGCTTTAGCCGGGATTACAGGGATCGCGTGGCCGTCAATAGTGATGGGGGGGAGCGGGGGCACCTGTAGGGTGGTGCTGGAGTCCCGGGGTGCTCGTGGAGGGCTGTGCCCATCACCTCAGATGCCTGCTGGCACCCCAGCCCCTCTGCCTGGGGAGCAGCCCCCTGTCCCCCCGCCCCCCGTAGCCCCAATTCCCCACGCGGGGAGGTGGCCCCGGGGACACCGTGTGCCGGCGGTGCCGTGAGCGCCCGCGCCTTGCGGCTGCGCCAGGCGAGGCCGGGGGGGCTGTGCCGTGGCTCGGTGCCACCCGCGTGCGTGGGCTGCGTCGCAGGCGCTGTCTGCCGAGCCAGCGCGCGTGTGCGTGGCCGTCTGGGCGCCGTGACTGTGCAGCGCTGGCTGCGTGGGGAGGGCTGGCACGGGGTGGGGGCTGCGCTGAGCCCCCCCGTCTCCCCGGGTGGCTGAGCGGTGGGTGCAGGCGGACGGTTGGTCTGTCTGTCTGTCCCTCTGTCCATCGTGGTGGACCGGCCAGGGCGGTCGGTGCGCCTTTGCCTCTCGCTGTGGCGCGGGGTGACAGGAAGGGGACTCGTAAATCAATGGCACTTTTTTGTTCCCCTGGTGATCGATGGGCCCCGGATGCGCCAAAAGGACGAAGCTGCTGGAGCCGAACAAAGGGCCTGGCTGTGCTGGGGGGGTGTCCGGTGCCGGGGGGCACCGTGCAGTCCCCACATGGGGGATGCCCCGCGTCGCCCCGCTCATCCCCACTGGCACCGCCAGCATGGGGTGCTGAGCCCCGCTCTGGCCCCACCGCCCTCCAGGCTTCTCCCACACCCGTGGGGATGAGTCTGCAGTGTGGGGGTCCAGATGGGGGTCCAGTCCGTGCCGTGGCACCGCTGCCGGGGCGTGCTGCAGTGCACCAGGCGCTCCCCAGCAGTGCGGGAGCCAGCGCGCGGCACACAGCCCGGATTTATGGCAGCAGATGGGAGCGGAGCGGCCGCCCAGCTCACCGGTGGCTGCGGCGTGCCAGGTACCAGGGGCCCACCAGGGTCCCTCCGGTGCAGGGCCGGTGGGCGCTGAGCCCAGGGCCGGTGATGCCAGGGGACATCCATCTGCCCAGCGTGACAGGCTGCTGGAAGGTACCACCGCCTCGAGGAGCCCTGCTCTACAAACGCAGTCGTGCAGAAGTGATGCTGCCCGTTATCCTCCTGCACTTAACCCTTCGGGCACTGCTGGAGCCCACTGTGCCCCGCTGGCCATGCCATGGCTGCCAGAGCCTGGGAGATCGAGGGTCCATCCTGACCCCGGGACGGGGCAGCCTGTGCCTGCTCTGGGGTGGGTGCCGGTGAGGAAAGAGGCTGAGTCCCTCTCTCAGGGTGTCTATTCTTGCCCTTCTACCCCAAACCAGGGCCCACAGCGCTTCAAACAGGTCTCGGGGTGCTTTAGCCATGGCACTGGGGAAGCTGCTGAGTTTAGGGGTATCCAGCTGCATGAGCTGCTGCTCTACAGTGACTGTGCAGGAGCCAAGCACGGCAGGGACACAGTGTTGTGACTGAAGCTGCTGCCAGGGTCCCCTGGCTGTGCTTCAGGCTGTGGTGGCCCTGTGGCTGTCTCCTTGTGGGGCCATTCCCCAGCCCTCCCAGCACTTGATGATGCTCTGATGCCCTGGAGCTCCCGGCATGCCATGGCAGCTGGCAATGACTACCACGGGGCCCTCACCACACCACCTGGGGCCCCTGTACCCCACCATGGGTGCTGGTGTGTCCCAGCCCCAGGGGGAGACGTTGGTGCCTCGTTAGCGAAGCTGTTTATCAGGAGCCACTCTTCTTAATGAGCCGCTGCTTAATGAGCCCCAGCGCAGGGTCCCACGGGGGCTGTGCCTCAGCGCTGGGTGCCGCAGGGGAGTAGGGTGGGGGGTGTTACAGCTCCCCAGCACCGGGTTTCCCCTAGCACGGTGGGACATGGAGCCGTGTGTGACGGTTCCTCCGGTCGGTCCCTCGATCCCCTGGCACAGCCACAGCCCGGCCGCGGTGAGCCCCGGCTGCCGGTGCCCGCCCCGGTGTGGGGAGCAGGTATTGGGGTACGCCGGCGTCCCAGCCCCGCGTCCCGCGCGGAGTTAATTGCGATTTTCTCCTTGGGGCCATTTCTTTAATAACAAGCCTTTTTCTCCCCCCCCCCCCCCCCCCCCCCCCCCCTTCCCACCACATCAAAGGGGGAAGATGAAAGGTCCCGGCGCCCGCTGAGCAAGGGTGGCTGCCTCAGCACCTTCCCGGCGGAGCAGTTGCCGGCGGGTGCCGGGCTGGGCTGCGGAATAGCGGCTGCGCAGCGAGGGAGGGGCCGCGTGGAGCTGCGCTCCCTGTCCCACGGCCGGCGAGCTCCACCATCAGACCCCCACCGTTGCCCCCCGGTGCCGGAGGCGGCGCTTCTTGGCCCACCCCCCCACCTCTTTCGCTGCCCGACACCAGGTCCCCCCGTTTGGTTCTGTCTCCGGCGCTCGGCTCCCGGGGTGCCGCGGGCGCCGGCGGTGCCGGGGCTCCCCAAACAGCGCCGGGGGCGATGGTACAGGGTGGGGCGTCTGCACGTGCAGCCCTGCCCGCTGTCTGCCCGGCCCTGCCGGGGGGACCCGGCCAACGCTCGGCTGCAAGGGAGGGGTGGTGGGACCTTCCGTGGGCCAAGGGGAGCCCGAGCGGTGGGGGCTCGCAGCCTGGGGTTTGCCGTGAGAGGCGGGGAAAGGGCCGCGGTCCGGAGCGACGCGCCGCAAGCCGGAGCTGCGCGGGGCAGCTCGGCCGCGTGTGCCGGGATGCCGCGGTCCATGTCCCGCGGGATCCGGGCTCGGGACCCCCCGAGGCAGCGCTGAGGCAGCGGCAAGCGCGTTCCGGTCAGGGTCGGGTGCTGTCGCGGCGGGCTCGGTGCCGAGCCAGCGCCGGGTGGTAATTAATTGGCAGGAGCAGCGGGTCAGCGCGGCGGCGAGGATTACCGAGGCCGGGATTTCCGTCGGGCGCGGATTAGGAGCCAGCGGAGCCTCTCCTGAGTGGATCTGAGGGGATTGCTGCTCCTAATCAATGTAAATGAGGCTCCCCCAGGGCCACCCTTTACGGCATTAACGAACTAACGGGATTAGCCAGAGCAGGGTGAGAAATCCTGGCTCCGAGCTGCCGCGCGTGCCAGGGCCGTGGTGGGCGGCTGCGGTGGGTCGGCTCTGGGCTGCTGGAGGCAGGGAATGCCAGGGAATGCCGGGGTTCCATGCATACCCAGCGGCTGCATGCCGCGGGGACCGTGCTGCCTGCAGCACAGACCCCGATGCCCTTCTGGGTCTGTCTGTCCATCGTGCTGTGTCTGTCTCCTTCTTGAGGCTGCTGGCACACTCTCACCAGGACCTGGCAGTGCCGTCACGTGTGCCTGTGCTCTTGCCCAGCCCACCCGTGCATGTGGCTTGACAACAGATCTTCTCCCACCCCGGTCCACTCGTGCCCCCGGGGATGTCGATTCTGCTCCACAGGTCCGTGAGGCTGCACAGCCCCGCTGCATCGGGAGCTCCACACAGAGGCTGAGCAGGGGGTGCCGCTGCTCCTGGAATCCCCACTCTGCAACTCGCTCCTTGTCCAGCCTCCGGGTCCCCGTGGAGGAGGGGGATGGTGTCTGGGGAGGTGCAGGGCGTGTCTCTGACCCCCCCATCCCCTCCTTCCCTTGCAGCCTGCGGCGGGAGGGCTACACAGTGCAGGTGAACGTCAACGACTACCTGGACATCTACTGCCCGCACTACAACGCTTCGGTGCCCGAGCACCGGCTGGAGCAGTACGTGCTGTACATGGTGAACGCGGAGGGGTATCGCACCTGCAACACCAGCCAGGGCTTCAAGCGCTGGGAGTGCAACCGGCCCCACGCGCCCCACAGCCCCATCAAGTTCTCGGAGAAGTTCCAGCGCTACAGCGCCTTCTCACTGGGCTACGAGTTCCGCGCGGGGCAGGAGTACTACTACATCTGTACGTGGGGGCGCCGGGGCGGGACCCCCACAGCCCCCCCAGGCCAGGCCGGTCACCCCATGTCCCTCCCTGGGTTGTCCCCCCACCCTGTTGGGCCCCTCTGCACCCCCAACAAGGACCACCCCCCACAGCTGGGGTCCCCCTGCACCTCCCACAGCTGGGCAGCTGTTCCCCCCTCCACAAGAGTGGGCACCCGGAGCTTTGGGATGGGGGTCTGGGAGGGGTTGATGGTGCGGGGGGGGTGCATGATGTGTGGGAGAGATGGGAGCACAGGGAAAGATGGGGGACAGCACGGGTGTGTGGGTGAAGGTGCTGGTGCAGGATGGGGGTGCTGGATGGAGGATGCAGGATTGGGGTAATAGTGCCAGACTGGGGTGCTGGTACAGGCTGTTGGCACAGGATTCGGGTGCTGGTGCAGGCATGGGATTTGGGGTGCTGCTGCATTACCCCAGCCCAAAGCACACCCCTGGGCAGGACCAGACACCCCCATGCCCAGACCCACTGCACCTCGGGGTGCCCGGGGATGGGGTCACTGCCACGGAGCTGCCCCCAGCCCTCTCTTGCCTTGCAGCCACACCAACACACAACCACCGCCGGGCCTGCCTGAAGATGAAGGTGTTTGTCTGCTGCGCCTCCAGTAAGTACCTCTGTGCCCACCCTGGGGGCTGTGGGCGAGCGGGGGGCGGCGTGGCCGGCCGGCAGGTCCCCTCTCCCTCCCTGGGGGGGCTGCAGCACAGGGCGTCCAGGGAGTGTGACCCCCATTCCCTCTCTCCCTCTACAGCGTCACACTCCGGGGAGAAGCTGGTGCCCACCCTGCCCCAGTTCACCCTGCGGCCCGAGGTGAAGATCGAGGACCTGGGTGAGTCAGGCAGAGCCCCCGGCCCCGCCGCGCCACGTCCCCCCTGCCGCCGCCTTTGGGGCAGCCCCAGCCAACTGGGGGTGGGGTTTTGGGGCTGCCCCACTGCCCCCCTCACCCTCTCGCTGTTCCCCGCAGAAAACTTCAACCCGGAGATGCCGAAGCTGGAGAAGAGCATCAGCGGCACCAGCCCCAAGCGGGAACACTTGCCCCTGGCCGTGGCCGCCGCGCTCTTCCTCATGACCCTGTTGGCCTCGTAGCTCCCGGCGCCCGTGGGGGCCCGGCCAGCGCCGCTCTGCCGAGTGCGGCCCCCCCGACCTGCCGCCCCTCCTGAGAGCCAGCGGGGGAACCACCGCGGGACCACCCCCTCCGCCCGGAGAGCCGCCCGCAGAGCTGCCCCGCGGGGCAGGGATCGTGGCACGCGCCGATCCCGGCTGGACTCGCCTCCCACCCTGCCAACGGGCACGGCCACGTCCGCAGGGACGCGGCTGAGTGCGCTGCACCTCCCGCCGACACGGTCCTGTGCCGCGGGGTCCTGCCCGCAGCCCACCCGGTGCCCCGCGGCTGCCCCGGGGCTGGGGGGCAGCTCCAAGATGGGGAGCCTGGTGAGGGCAGGGACCCCCAGGGCCGGGCAGCCTGTACATACCCATATAGATCTATACATACTGTACAGAGAGCGACTACAGAGATATATCTATACTGTACCATAGGCAGCAGCGCCGGCCCCGGGCTGGCTTGTACATAGTCGAACGTGTTGGATTTTCCTCGTCTTCCGTGAAGACCCGACCTATGCAAACGCACAGACACTTTTTGGGGAAAAACAAAACAGATCAAAACAAAACAAAAAAAAAAAAACAAAAAAGAAACATTCTCAACCTTTTTTTCAAGTGCTTTGGCTGGTGATTTTCATATTCTGCTCTTAGTCTATTAAAAAAAAAATAATAAAAGGATAAAAAAACGGACCCCTGTCACGGTGGTGTGCAGCGCTCCCGGCCCTTGGAGGGGCTTTGGTGCCCAGGGGGGCTCCAGCCAGGGCAGGGGGTCAGGTGAGGGCTGACCTCCACCTGTCTTACCAGGCTCAACAGCTCCAGCCATGGCAGGGGGGATGCAGGGTGCACCCCTCCTCTGGCTCTGCTTCCCATCCACCCCCCAGCACCGCCATGGAGCATCCGGCAGGGATCCAGTGCTTCCCGTAGGAACACAGCACGGACAGCGGGAGAGCCCACAGGTAAGGGCAGCTCGCGGGGGTCTTGGCACGCACCCCTGGGGGTGCTGGGGTGGTGTTGGGGGCAGTGGGTGCGGGAGAGCCTTCCTTGCCATCCTCGCCAGCTGCACAGGGCGAGCAGCCATGGGGTGCCGGGAGCCCCATGGGAACCCCGGCATAACCCCCCCGCCCGTGCGTCTGGCTCTGCCAGGCATGCCGGCTCCTGCCGGCTTTGGGGGGATCTGGCACATGTTGGCGTCTCCTGCGGGAAGGGGGAATGCCCTCGGCTCTTCCTCGGCGCCTCCAGCCAGGCAAGGAGGTGTGGGGGGTTGGGGTTGTGCCTGGAGTCACTGCTGAGGGGGTTTCACCGGGGTCACGGAGGAGTGGGGCACAACCAGCACCCCACAGCCCCCATGGGCGCAGGGGAGCAGCTGTGGGGTCCTAACCCTGCACTCCACGGGGCTGGGGGGGCTCAGTGCCCCCAGGGAGGGGGGCAGCCCCTCCCCACAGAGCAGTGTGGGATGCGGGGGCTGTGGCCCCTCTCCCGGGGTGTGTTGCTGTTCGGGGGGGTTCCTCACAGCTGCGGCGGGCAGGGCGGCCGCTCTCCCCCACCCAGCAGGCGCTGCTTGCTGGGCGGTGGCTGGGTGTCCCGCCGGCCCGGGCTTGTCCGGGTGCGGGAAGAGCCGACGAACCCGTCAGACGGGTCCTGGTAGTGCTCCCGGCAGGCGCCGGGCTCCCCACATCCCCCCCTGTGCTCCGACAGGCCTGGCCTGGAACGGGGCTGAGGTCCCTGCCGTGGACCCCCACCCGGGGTCTCGGCATGCCACTGGTACCCGAGGCTGACCCAGGGCAGGGTGGGCATGGCGTGTCCACGGCAGTAGCAATGGCACTGCCAAGGGCCATATCCGGCAGGATTTGGGCTGCCAGAGACCACCCAAGGACCAGGCACAGCCCCTGCCCCGGCGTGGTGCCATGACGGTGGCACACGTAGTCGTGGCACAGCCCAGCTATCCACTGCCCTGAGGGGGTGAAAGGGCTGGAGTTGCCACTCTGGCACAAAGAGCCCTGCCTGCAGGATCTCTCCTGCCATTTGCCTTGACCCTGGCACCGCTCCCGGTGCGTGCGTGGCACCGCCGACGGCTCCACAGGGCCCAGCCACCCAGTTCTGCTCCACTCCATGCCCTCGGGCTGGGCACAGTGGGGCAGCCTGGCCTCACCAGGAGTCCTCTGGGGTGCTGGTACAGGGTTGGGGTCACCCTCACCCAAGCCCTGCTGCCCCAAGTCAAGAGAGGGCCCTTGCTAGGACCCCAGTGCCGAGGTTTGGGTGCCCCTCGAGTGCTGGGGGATTCCAGAGCCCTGGCAGTGTCTGTGGGAAGGGGATGTGTGCCGGGAGCAGCTGTGTGGCACAAGGCTCTGCCTTATCCTGGGATGGCTCTGGCCAGCCTGGTCAGTGCTGGGCGATTCCTGCTCTCCAGACAAAGGTGTGAGGTCCTGGCACAGCTGGACAGCCCCAGGGCCACGGCTCTGCCCCCGCTGGGCACAGGCTGGCACCGGGCCATGCCTACCTGCCGGGCTGCACGCACTCGGCACCGCGTGGCACCGCGGCCTTCGCTCCCAGCCAAGGACTGCACGACTCCTCTTCCTCCCCCAGCCTCGCACCGGTGACGTCAGCCCAGGCAGGGGCCGGGGCACTCCCGGGTGTCCCCAGCCGAGAAACCATAAACACTTTGTCACGAGTTTGCCTCTGGCCAGCCCCACCTGCCCCATGCCACGCACCGCCGGTGTTTACAGCACGGAGTGGCTTCACCTTTGTCCTGCTGGCACGGGCACCAATCCCAGCCCACCATTACCTGCTCCTGGTGCCGTGGCCATGGCTGTGACCACGTGTGCCACGTACACAGCACCACTGGCACCCCCAGTGCTGCTGCGGGTGGGTGCTCACCCTGTGCCCCACTGTCCCAAGGGAAGTAATGGGATGCTCTCCAGCCCTAGATTGTCCATCAGGCTGTCCCCAGCAGGGCACATGGGCTTGTCCTTCCTCTCCCAGTCCTTCCACTGCTGCTGTGGGCAAGGCATGGTGGTGACACTGGGTCCTGGTGTGAGCCCATGGCCTCGCTCCCAGCCCCCTTCCCTGTGTCCTGGTGGTCCTGCTGCAGGGCTGGGGACCATGGCAGAGGGGGCAGGGGGGCCCCTCGGCCAACAGAGTTGGGTACCACATCCCAGTGCCAGGAGGTGGATCCAGTATGGTGCCCCAGGAGGATCATTATCCCCCCAGCAGGGCCAGCACGGGGTTCGGGCACCCAGGGCTGCCCAGCCCCTCGTCACTGCTCCCTGACTCAGTTTCCCCAGTCACTGGCACAGTGTGTCCCTGCCATGGTGGTGGCAGTACCAGGGCAATGCCAGGACCACGGGACCAGCTCCCACCACCGTGGCCTGCACGTGCCGTGCTCCAGCTCTCAGATCCCAGGGGTGTTCCCGGGAGGTGCTCCCCTGTACAAGCCACGGCAGCGCCGGCGTCCGGGAGCAGAGGCCTCGCACCGTCATTATGGATGATGTCAGGCCTGGCCGCAGCCAGGGAGGATGAGAGGGAAGAAGCCGGTCCCCCTTCCCGGGAGCGAGGGTGGGGAGAGAGGCCGGGATGCACAGGGTGCAGGTGGGATGTGGGGCACTCGGCCCCACAGCCCGGGCCCGCGGGAGCCCTCGGCCGCGGGAGCTGCAGCCGCTCTCCGGTCGCGGCGCCGGCGCCTGCCGGAGCCCCCGCCGCGTGCCAGGGGAGCGCTCCGCGCCCGCTGCGGCACAGGGCATGCAACATTACCCACAATCAATGGATCATTATGGAATAAACAAGAGGAAAGTTGTTTTGCAAATGCGGCTGAGTTATCGCTTCACAACACGCGGCGAAGCGTCGCGCGCCGGCCAGGACACGGATGGATCCGTGTCGGAGCAAATGGGAGCCGACAGCGAGGCACCGTGGCTGCCGCCAGGCTGTGGCAGCCTGCCCGCCGTGCCCCCCCAGCTCTGCACCCGCAGACCCCCACTCTGCACCTACAACCCCCTATCCTGCACCTACAGCCCTGATCCTGCACCTACAGCCCTAATCCTGCACCCACAACCCCCCATCCTGCACCTACAGTGCTAATCCTGCACCTACAGCCCCCCATCCTGCACCCACAGACCCCCACTCTGCACCTACAGCCCCCCATCCTGCACCCACAGCCCTAATCCTGCACCTACAACCCCCCCATCCTGCACCTACAGCCCTAATCCTGCACCTACAGCCCTAATCCTGCACCTACAGCC